CATATACAGGAACTTGCAACGATCTCACTTCTCAGTTTCTTGAACTCTCCTCTATGTTAGCCACTCACTCCTTAGATTTTTTTCAAGACCAATCATTTCAACCCTCCATAATCTCAACTGCATGCACCCCACTGATTACTCCTAATCTTTTGCCTCTATTACTCTGGTTTCCCAGCCCTAACAATTGTTCTGTTTTCCCTGATCTATAATCCATTGACCCTATCACCTTTTCACTGCTTCTCAACTTTACTATGTTTTCCCTCCTTGCAAAGCTTAAATTGTATAATGAATGATCAGAGTCACTCCCTGCATACATCCTCAATTCCCTTGTCCCTGATGGCACATATAACTTGTTTGACAAAGCCACAACCTTGGTTAAATCTAACTCTTTGGGAACTTTGTACCTGCATCCATGTAGCTGAATGACTGGTCTGATTTTACATTCTTCACCTCACTGGGCAGTGAATGGACTTCCCGAGTCTGTTTACTCTCCCACTCTCCCTAGTGGCTTTATCTCACATCACCTCTCTTTCCAACCCTTGACACCTCTTCCTCAATCCTCATTTTTGTTTTCTCTTCTTAGCTGTTTGCTGGTTAAGCTCCTTCTCCCTGATCTCTTTTTGGAGCGCCCCAAGCCCTCACACCTCTTCCTCATCTACATTCTTGCCCTTGGTGATCTCATTTGGAGTCAAGGCTTTGAACATCACATATTTGTTTGTAATTTACAAATGTGTTTCTGGGTCCAGACTTGTATATCCAACTACCTTTTTTACTTCTCTGCTTGTATGTCTAATTCAGGGTTTCTCAACCTTGGCACTATTGACATTTTGGATAGGATAATTCTTTGTTGTGTGTGGGGCAACCATCTTGGGCTTTATAGGATTTTTGGCTACTTCCTGGATAATTAGATGCCATTAACTAATTAGATGCCATTCTCGATCCCTCCCCCCTACCCGCCCCCAGTTTTAAAAAACAAAATTATCTCCAGACTTGACTAATGGCCCCTGGCGGCACCCCTGTACCCCTTGGGAACCACTGGGTTTAAAGCTTTTCAAAAGTAGGCGTGATATCTCTGAGTGGTGGTTCTCAGGGTCAGCAGTTCTAATGTGAACTGGCTTCATTCCAGGCCTCATCTCTTACTACTCCCTCTCACTTTCTCTTCCTGCCCCACTGGCCTCCTGGATGCTTCCCCAGTCTGCCACTCCCACTCCCACCTCAGTGCATTTGCACTGCATCTTGCCAGTTCATTGGTCTTTGTTAGCTGTGTTTATAGCTGTGATGATGATATCTCAGAAGACAAGTTAATGTGCAAAGTGCTCCATGGTAAAATAACAACTGAAGGGATTTTCGACAGGATGGTTTTTCACTAAGCAAGGTATTGTGAGAGAGAAACTTGGAGCCCAAGAAGGGGCTGGCAAGTAATACTGCGGGAACTCAACTTAAATGTCGAGATAATGAAGAGCAAAACAAAGAGAAGATGGAGCAATTCATTGTGCATTTAAATTAAAAAAAAAAAAAAAAAGGCCCTCATAGTTGGCTCATTTAGCAGATATTTTTGAGGCTGAATTCTCAAAGAGCAAGTGCAAGGCAAAGCAGTAATTGCCACATGCAAATTTGTCAAGAGAGTGGCAAATGAAAATGGATTTTGAAAGATGAACAGAGAACTTATCTCAAGGACTGGGACTCACTTGTAGTTCTTATTTCTCTTGGAGCTGATGAAAATTAAAAGCTATTAATAAAATTAAGAACAATATCATTAGTATCGTTAGGTAGGCTTCTTTCTGAGAAAGTCTTACGTTGTCTATTTCTCAGACCATAAAGAAATCTGAGCAGTGATACTTCCATATGACACAACAGACTTGACATCTCAGAGAGAAGTTACACTTGAAATTTCTACCAATAGTACCTAAAAATATTGCACCTACCAGCCCTTTGGCTGCACTTGCTGTATGATTATTCTGGCAGGGCTTCTAAAGCAGTGAAAAAATCTGTTTCTTTCTGTCCTACCTATTTATGGATCTGGGTTCTCAAAACATTGTCATACCAAGAGCCTAATAAGTAGGGTTGATTTTACTCCAGTTTTCCGACATTGATGGTATTAGTGCAACACAACTGAATTAAGTATCCACACTAATATCATCCTGTCATATTGTATGACTCCGAGCAATTGCAAGATTTCTGATTACTTAATCAACAGGGACTGAAACATTAATTAACTGGAATCAGGTTTTTTTGTGTGGGCACGCTGTCTAGATTCTCTGAGCCTTACGTTATAAATGAAGAACTGAGCCACATATGTAGAAATTAGGAAAGTGTATATGTATATATAAAATCTCCAAAGACAATGGAGCCACCCAGATAGTTTGCAACAAGTTCTGCAATGTGCAGAGAAACAGTTTCTTACATAAGGCAGCTGACTATTCATGACTTTATGGAAAAAAATCTTATTTCCGTTATATTAAATAGCAAAGAATGACCAAGTAAAGTAGGACAAACACAGAAACTACATGTAACCAATATTCTTTTTTAGACTAATGGTGTCTAAGAGTTTTTTCATGTATACTTTATTACAAAAATCTTATGTGGTTGCTGACTATAGATGAATAAACAACTGCTTTAAGGGCTTTTTTTTTCTTTTTCACTTTTCAGTTCTCTTTTCTTTTTCCTTCTGTGTATGTGTGTATATGTACATGAGGGAGAGAAAGAGAGCATGTGAGAACACAAGAACAAGGAGCATAAAGCATATATGCAGGGTTTAATGTAAATAGAAAGCAAGCACCCATGTGACCATCATCAAAATTAAGAAACAGGAATTCGTGACCCCCCAAAAAGCCCCTTGTTTAAAATACATATCTGTGCTTCTGCAATAGGATAAAAAAAATACCCATTTTGGAGGGTGTTTATTAAGTCAAGTGAGCAATGAACAAGGCACAGGTGCATCAGGACAATGTGTGTCTTTCATCATAAAATTTGTATTTACCATTATTGCTATATTCAGAAAAACCTGCCTCTACAATCAAAACTGTATATCAACATGTAAAAGAGAGATGCAGGGTAAAATATAATAGCAGAACTTCCCTATGGAAGAAAATGTCAGGATATGGATTCCTCATTTTCAACAAAGGCAATATTGTATTTTTAAATCTGATTTTAAAATAATAGGGGGTGGAGTGATTGTTCACTTTGTGAAGGAGTCTTCCCAGGATTTTGTGATATAACTCCTTCCTTCAGCATAGGAAATTCTGGAGGTCCAATCAGTCTTCTCTGGCTTCTCATCGTGCTTCCTTCTCTCCCTCCCTTCCTTTACATATCCCACTCTATGTGCTTACCAGTTCTTGGCACTCTCTTACTTCATCTACCTCTGGGCTAATAGCCGTAAACTCGGGGACAACAGAGCCACCTAGGAAGTTTGCAACAGGTTCGACAGTGGGCAAAGACAAAGTCTCTTCTGCATTGTTTCTCCTTAGAATACACTCCCTTGTTCTCCTCAAGGAAGTCCTGCTTTCCTTAAAACCCCACTCGAATCTCATTGTCTTTCTCATCTTTAGATCACCCAGTTGGATTATTTAATTATTTTCCCCCAGCTTTATGGAGTATAGTTGACAAAGTTGTATATATGATGATTTGATATATATATATATATA